TTTGGGTAATCAGTCCTTCATCTATACTGGACCTCTCTCACGCTCTGCTGAGGGAGTGGGGATGATCTGTTAGAATGTTGCCTTTGACTGAAAGTTTGCTTTGTTAGTTTGTTTTTCAGTAAATGTCTCACTATGAAAATGTATAAAAGATGTGGCCAAAATTATTACATGTTGTTCTTCAATGTACTATAATTTCTACAGGAAGGATTCCAAGGCCAACAGTAGCTTCCTTTTGCTAACTTGTTAGTTGGACAGCATTTATGTCTTCTCTCCCAGACCTTCTTATTAATGAAGTCCCTCTTAATCAACTTTAAAAAAATCTAAACTACTTTCAATTGTTTTTGTTTTCTCTTGAAGATAAAAGAAGCTCAAGATATTTCTCATAGGTTAAATGCTGAACATTAAATGTTTTGGGAAAATGGTGAATCACATGCCTTGTCTGAATCTTTTTCATGGTGCATCACCAGATTATGCTTAGATTATTCTATTTCTTTTTCTTTGGATAGACTTTCAAACCCTTGTAAGAAGTTGAATCAGATTAAGTATATCCCCACAAAGTTCCTTATTCATTGGATTAGTAAAAAGGAATAAACCCTTTTTTTTCAGAGAACTTTCAAATACACTGCATCACCACCTTGTTATCTGGCAAGGTAGTTTTATTATTGGGACTGCATAGTTCAAATCCTAATGTGAACCATAAACTACAGCTTACCATTTTTGTTAGTATGAGACATCTGTCCTTTTGATTTGTACTAGTGCACAGCATGCAAAGGTACTTCAGGATCTTGTCTGCTGTGTCTGAGTGTACAAGGTGGAGTATTAACCTGTATTATATGTGGCAGCATATGAAACCTCATGGAGTTCTTAAGTGATTCCACATCTATGGTGTATCTACTTAGGCAGTTGCAAATATTTGCAGCCTTGTGTTTGCAAGGTTCAGTACAGATGATGGTGTAAATTGATGTGTTGACTAGTGTCGACTAGTATTTACTAGTTACTAAAAACAGTCATGAAGATAACTAGTGTCACCTTGTTGGTTGCAAAATGTTAATCCATCCATTTAATAGTGGAATCTGACAGAGAGTCTGAAAGACAGTGGCAATCCACGGCCTTTTCTGCATGAGGAAGTCTAGCTGGCAAACAGTCCGTTGGCATAGTGCGCCTAGCAACTTCTTCTGGCAGAATGCATTTACATTTGGTTGCTTCTGTTGGCAATATATTTCTTCGTGGCTTCAGATTGTATTGGCAAAATATACACAGCATGCAAGAGGATCTCAGTAACTGTGTCTGTAGTGCTGTGCAGCATTCGTCTTGAAACCAAATGTGTTAACTGTTCATTCTGCACTTGTTAGGGCCTTGTTGTTCCTGAATCTGGGGAGACATGAAAACAGCTGATTCTCTTGCAGGAAGAACATTAGTTAGTGCTGAAATGTTAAAGGTCATTCAAGAGCAGCCTCGCTGCTTTGTGGATAGGCTGTGTGCCCAGCTAATTCAGTTGTCTGCAGATAAGACAGTTCCTTGTCCTTAGGACAGCTGTATCGTGCTTGCTGTAAGGGGGATGAGATTTGTGGGCAGTCTGAGTGTCTGTGTGTAGACTCAGCTATATAACATGTCATTATTTGGCAAGCAGCAAGGTGAGACTGCTTCTGAGTATTGAATATTGATTGAGCACCCTTCAAGAACTGATGGAACTGTGCATTAAAGCCATAGAAACTGCTTCCTCATGGCTGTATTTAGTCTTCTTCTCACTTTCTCATTCATTTCACAGAAACATATATTTACATAGCTTGGGAAGGGCCTCTGAAAGGTCACCTAGTGCCACTGCTTGCACAGAGCAGATTCAAAAGGATCAGGCTGCTCAGGTCTCTATCCAGTTAGGTCTCCCCTAACTCCTCTCTTGTAAAGACTGGACAAACACAATTCTTCCATCGATGTACATCATGTGCTTTGTCTCCCAGTCAGCTTGGTAGCCTTCCCCTGAATTCACTCCAACACATCAATGTCTTTCTTGTGATGAGGAGCTGCAAAGTGAACATGGTACTCAAAAACCTTCTATAAAATAGTGAAGCTGTACTGATACTTGGTAACAGTGGTTTTGTCTGTTGTAGGATGGACAAGACTTGGTTCAATCACAAAATCTAATAAGAGGTCTGGTTTTCTACAGGTGAAATGGTTCTGATGGTGAATGCCACTTTTACACTACCTAATTTCTGGAACTATTATGTCCTTTGGGGACCTATTCAGGTGGAAAAATAAGGTGTTTGTAGTAATTGTTGGAGTCAGAGATATGCCAGTTCCACCTGCTCTGGTTACCAGTTGTTTGAGGGAGCATAAAAGAGTATTGTGATGGTATGCTCTATCCAAAGAGTGACTAATTCTTTTATCACATGTGCAGATTTTTAAAAAATAAAATAATAAATAAAGCTGGATTTGTAGATAATAGACTGTTATCAAGCTTAGCTTACAATATGAGCAATGCTCACCTTGGCATTTATAGCAGCTTCTGAGTAGGAGGATTAATAGCAAATCTCTTCCATCAATGTTCAATATTGCTACAAAAATCGAGTTAGGAAGATGATGTAGGTCTTCAACCAAAGATTATTTCTCATGCTGTGTTGTAGATTCTGGGTTGCTAGTATCATTCTTTTCTGAACAAGAATGCAGCTTAGTATTTTTTAAAAAAATTTTTTAGCATGTCTTGCAGTTTTCAATCTTTCAGGTTTTGTCCTAAGTCTCTGCAATGGGAGGGAGGGAGTTTATGTAGCCAATGTAGAAAAAAGAGAGTTTCTCTGATCTATTTCTTTCCTGTTTATCATGTAGAGTATTTACATGGTAAGGTGTACCCCTCAGATCCATACAGTACATGGAGTGGAATCTGATGGATTAGAAATCCTGGAAGAACTTTGAATATCTGTGATTCCACTGCACATCTAGAGATCATCATGAAAGCACTGTTGTTGCCTGATAGTCTGGAAATGATAGAAACTGTAACTGCTATAACAAAAGGCCTCTGGGAGAAGTTTCTGTATGCCACAGGCTAACTGGGTGGGATTCATTTTACTAAACACAGACAATTCCTGGTCTGGACTTCATTTATTGTGTGTAGAGGAAAATAGGGAAATTTATAGGGCTTTTTGTTTTCATTTTGCAGCACAATTTTTCTCATCCGGATGCCACTGCCTAAAATAAAACAGATAAATGACTTGTTAAATACCTGTTTTCTTAATTGATTTTAAAGGGAGCTGGAGATGACTCTTTCAGCTCTAAAAATCTGTGCAATAGCTGACTAAAGCTGGTTGTAATAGGTTTGCCTTTATTGTAATAACAGCAGACCAAAAGAGAACTTAGGTTGCTTATGGGAACAGTTTTAACTTCTCCAGTTTTTTTCCTATGTTCTCAGGGGAATTGGAAACAGAGCAGGAATGTGGAGAGACTTCTGCTGGCTGTTATTTTTCCTGGTTAAGAGTTCTTTGTTGTCCAATGATTGTTCCAGAATAAAGTGTCAAACTCATCCATGCCTAAAGTTTTCAGTGTTTCAACCTTTCTTCCTGCATTAAGTTTTTTGAGCTTGTTAGGAAAGCAGTCTTCACACTGTTAGATACACAGTGGATATTTTTGGAGAAGATGCAACTGGCTAATCATCTCTGTTTCCAGGATTTGAACAGCCACACTGTGCCCTGGTTAGTTTCTGAAGCACTGAATTTCAATTCTCGAGCACATCTTTTGTGATTTTTCTGTTTCCTTTCAGTGATCACATTCAGAGCTGTGGCCACCTGCTCAGTGTCCAAGTTGAGACCAGCGATGTTCCTCAGGGATCATTACTGGGACTGGTGCTGTTTAACACCTTTCTCAGAGACATGGACAGTGGGATCAAGTGCAAGCTTGCTGGTGACACTGAGCTTTGTGGTGCAGCTGAAATGCTTGAGGGAAGGGATACCATCCAGCGGGGTCTGGACAGGCCTGAGGAGTGGGTCCATGTGAACCTTATAGACTTCAGCAAGGGCAAGGTCCTACACCTGGGTCATGATAATCTTAAGCACAATTATAGGCTGGGTGGAGCATAGATTGAGAGCAGTTTTGGGATTTTGGGGTAAATTAATTGTTTTGGAATGTTATTCTTAGAGTATCATTACCTTCTGTCCTGCTTCTATTCCTTTCTACTACCAATGAGATCTTCAAATGATAAAATAACTGAAAAGCACCCTACATTTATTTTGAAATTATGTGACTTGATCATCTGGTGTTAGATAACTTCAGCAGTTCAGAGCGGGAATTAAACATTTTTGCTTAATTTGTGACTGAGTCCTATTGCTGTTGATTTTTAGGGTCTTTGAATTCAGTTCCAAGCAAATGTCAGTGGGATTTAGGGCTGTGGCAGTAGGAGCCTGTTTGAAAACTTACTGGCCACATTAGGCCTTTTCTTCCCTGGCCCCTTACTGAGTTACTTGGTGGTACAGAGGAGTCTACAGCAGATTGCACAACAGACCATGAAGTGTGTGCATCTGAGTATAAGCTCCTAGGTTTGAGTTCTTGTGTATAAACAGGTAGCATCCAGTTTCTCGACTTAAACATTAGAACTGTATGTTTAGACATTAACTACCATGCTTTCACTGTATAGGACTTGTCCAAGAGTTTGTCCTACCTTTGAGAACCAAGTCACCAGCACAAGTAGCCAGCTTACTGTTAAATCAGAACTTTGTATTACATGTATTTCAGACATTTTTCTGCCCTCTTTTATTTGCTTTTCCTTCCAAGCTGCTTCAGAGCTTTTTGCTGAAAAGGTTCCCTTCAGTCTGTCCTTTAAAACTGATTTCAGTTTAACTTTTCAATGGTTTGTTTTTCAAGGCTGAGGTGTTACTATTCCAATTGTAGAGTTGATTATCACTTTTTAAGTCAGCTAAAAGACTTGACAAAAAAGCAAGAAGCAAAGGAGCCTCAGAAGTTACATTTTAAAATTTATTGCGTATTTACGATTTTGTCATCTTTTTTTTCTTTTTCAGTTCCCAGCTTGAACTAAAAACCTGACCATTGTATGCTGATGTTAAATGTATCAGAAGATTGTTTGGAAACAGGAAATTCAGAGGACTGTATAACAGTGTCAGCATAGCAGACCTCCTGTGTATATTTCAACCTATTGGTCAGTGGCTGCTTAGTGCCATCACTGCCTGATGCTGAAGGTCTGATGTCATGTTCCAAGTGACTCATGCAGTGCAGGTATGTCAGGAGAGCTGCAATTGGCAGTGGACAGAAAATATTAGTAAGTTGATCTTTTACAGAAATAACTCTTCTATGTGGATTTCATAGCCCTTAAAGTGAGTTGAAAAGACAATAAATATCCCTCATTAGTGCTATTGCAACCTTTGCTCTTGCTAACTTTTGAGTTGCTGTTATTTTTGATTTTCAGACTGAGGAAATAGGAGGGTGAATTTGGGAAGTGAAGTTGACAGGAAGCTGACACTGTGCTGATAAAGGAAAGCAAGGTATGTTTGGCTGTCTTAAGCCACAGATGCTTCTTCTGAAATACGTAGAGACTAAATTTGGAAATTATGTGTTTCTGTAGCCATTCCCTGTAGTTCATGCCAGGCAGTTTGTGTCTGTAGATGGATACCATTTTCAGCGGGAAATTAAGGAAGCCACCTGTTTTCTCATGACATTACCCTACTTTAATTCTGGCAACCACAAGAAAGTACCGTATCTTACTACAGAGATAATTATATGGCAATCACTTTATGACTCCATCTTACATAGAAATACTTAAATTAGCTTTAAATTAATTAACATCAGTCAAATACCCTTATCAGCATAGATTCAGCAGCAAAGAATTCAGTACAGATTAACTTTCTGAATTTGCTTTTCAGGCAAACTTTGCAGTCTGTGCCAGGTTCTGTAGCTTCACTGCTGAACTGCCTGCAGTCCACCTATGTAATGCATACCTTGATGCAATACAGTCATGCCTTGCTGGAGATGTAAGTACGCCCTGTTAGTCTGGATAGCACCAAGCAGAATGGGCTTCTCTTGTGGTCACAGTCTTTTACCATAACCTTGAGAGACCTAATATAGCTGGCATGTTTTGCTGTTTTTTTTCCTGAAATTTTATGGAGGGATGTCCAAGTTGCAGTGGGATAAAACTAGATGAAAATTGAAATAATGTATCAGCAAAGTCATATCACTAACATTAGTGATGAGAAACAACCTGTTGGAAAAAAAAAATAGTGATTAGAAAAAAAAATAGTGATTAGGTTGGAATGAAGTTTTGAGATTATGTATATGGAACTGGTGGCTGCTGCAAAATAAGTAAGCTATTAACTCTTAAGTCTGTGGCATTCATTGAATTTCTTGCAATTAGCAATGTACTATCTAAAGATATCTGGATTTGTTGCCTTGGGATAGTAAAAATACTTGTGTTCAGGAAGGAAGCACTAAAGGAACAGTACTGAAAATCTGACAACTGAAAGTTTATTAGCTTCAGAAGGCACATGACTAATAATATAACTAGCTGACTAGGAGGGCCTTACAAATTTGGAAGGTCTCTTGAGACCTTCAGCTCTTTCATGCTGAACACATAGATACAATAAACTAGAAATATCCAGGTGTCATGGTAAAGCATAAGATGCAAAAGCTACAAGTTACCATGAGTTTATGAGCTGAAACCCTTATAAGTTTCTGTTGCAAAGGAAAGTAGTTACAGCTTAAGAATTTTAGAACGTTTTTTTCAGATGTGGTAATAATGCACTCATTTTCATGTTCTTATTTGGATTCATGAATTACTTGAATCCAAGAGTTAATGAAATTAATCACAGCAACATTTGCTTTAAAAATATTTTTTAAAAGAAAGGCTGAGTTTCCCTCAAGAGATCTCATTTCTTTTAAAAGTGTATTTCATGATAGGAGGAATTACCCCATTTAAATCAGAGAACTTCTCCTCCTGTTACTGAGTCCCTATGCAGCTGGTGAGAATGGACACCCAGCTTCCACCTGGTGAGACAGATTCACAAGGACAGAGAGATCCTACCCATGGTAGTTAAAGTTGTACATTTTTATGGAAAGAAATTCCAAGTAGAAGCCACTGTCAACATTTCAGCATTCTCTTTGAAAAGGGAGAGATCTTATTTCTTAGGGCAAGATTTTTCAATGCATTCAAATATAGGAATATATCTACAGAAAACAAATAGTGGGAAATGTAAGCCTTTGCAGTAGGCATAATGTGGGCAATATAGATGGGGAGGGTCTAGTTTTCCATTCCCTCTGATTTTCATCCAGTTTAAAGGCTGCTCTGTATTCTGCCAGTTAAAACATTTCCTGAGGGACCTTTCCAAAGGGATTTTTATTAGAAAAATTTATACCTTGACTTCTACCCACTTCTGGTCCCAATCTAATGATTTACTCCCAAACAGCCCCACCACTGAAGGGCTTCCATATGAATGGGAGAAACAATGACCACCATATCTTCTATTTGTTTCTCTGATCAACACAAAAGCAAAAAAGTTAAGTTTTGGTCTTTCTGAATACATAGCAAAACTACCATGGATTTTAGTAATATTAAGATTTTACCACTGGTATGTTTCTTGGCCTCTCTGAACTTTCTTTTCTCGGCACTTCTGCTCTGCTGTGTTGTCAGGTTTTTTTGAGAACAAGAGGAAGTGGTTACTCTTTTGTTTAAGCCAATAAAGCTGGTTAGTGTTTTGTTGAGACTAGAATTGAAGCACTGCTTGAGGTTGCTGCTGTAATATGTTTTAAAACAGTCTAAGAAAGTACCAGCTTATGGTTATTTACTATACCATGTTTCACACAGGTAACAGGAGTCTGGAGGCAACAGTCAGTTGTTCTGACAGGTGACTTGACAATAAAACATTAAAACTGTCATTCTGGCCTTACCAGACCATGGAACTAATGGAGCAGTTACTGATTGCTTTGCCATGAATTCACTAAAACTGTCAACACTATTGGAAACTCTGCTGACATTTGTGGGACTATTGTCAACTTCAATCATACTTCTGTCAGAGTATTTTATTTGCCACAGTAACTGACTGGTGGTGTCTTTGCTGGAGGAGTTAAAAGAGCTGTAAATTGTACTCCCCTTCCCTGCCATTGGCAGCAGCCATTGTGGTATGCACTCCTCATGGCAGGGTGGGACACTGTCATGTGGCTGGCTATATGACATATCAATACATGAAACACATGTTTCCAAGGCTGCTTATGATTCTAAGCTATCATGACTGAATGAGATTTTGGGCAAAGTGAGGGGCAAAAAGGAAGATAAACCCCAGTGGTTAAATTGTTTTGGCTTTTCATAGTGTTTCCATTATGACCAGGAAAAGGTAAAGGATAAATGACACAAAAATGAAGCCAAATGTTTGGAAGCTGTGCTCTGCAGGCAGAGTTTTGTTAACTTAATCAGATGAAATTCCTGCAGAAAGCCTTCTCCTTTGCTGGTGAAGTAAGTCTAATAGCCTTTCAGGCTAAAACAAACTTTTAGGGATTTGTAACAACAACGCTATGGTTCTACAGAGACAACAACCTGTCCATAAATTGAAACTAGTCATCTGACAGTCTCCATTTGTCTGACCTACTTTCTACTTTCACTCTGTAAACAGCCGCAAGAAGAAAATTTGGGGATGGCAGAAGGGGCAGTTACAGGGACAGACAAGAGAGGCAGAATGTTAGATAGCTTACATATGCTTTATATCTCATAATTTATAACCAGAAGAAAGTGAGGCAAGGGGAATGATCACAGAATTCTAGTGTCTGATGAAACATAGCCCCAGAAGAGTGCTTCCTTCCGCTTGGCTATCACCAGTGACTGCTGTGGAGTATCTATCTCAAGAGTCACCATAAGGATCTCACTGCTTTTTATCTTCCTAGAATGGATAAAGAGAATAGTCCATGTTCTGAGAAAAAACTCTTTCTCAGGTGTTCATGTTCTCCTTTCCAGAAGTTGCTATCCCCGAAACCAGGATGGCAGAATGTGTGTCTGATGTCAGTCATCCCAGTAGACAGTCTGGTTCAAGGCTGGTTTTATTTATGTACCAGATGGTGAGATGGAGCAGCTGAAGATACTTTGCCACATTGCTCTATGCACCTAAATATTGTCTCATTGATTATGTAGCTGCAGCTGGAACCCATGTAGTGTGAACTACTCAGTCACATTCTACAGCTAGGAGCCTTAACAAAATCTTACTTGGTGTTGGTTTGGAATATTTGGGATCTAAAATGTGCTGATCAGTAGGTTCTGGAAATCGCTGTTCTTTCTAACAAAGGTGGCATATCTGTTTTACTCAGAAGTGTAAATCTAAAAGAAAGCACAGGAGTCTTTCTATTGAATTGAAAACTCAAGGTAGTGTTTTCTTAATAGTTGCGCCTTTTTTTCCTGTGCTTTGCATTACTTATGGCAAATATCCATGGCTAGTTGTTAACCTGCTGCAAAGCCTATTAAAAGTTTTACTGAGTTATACTGAAATTTACTGTTAATACTAAAACAGCACAGTTTGCAGCACTGCCAACACAATGCACATCCTGATCTGCCCTGGATTTTGACATTCAGGGAGATTATTAACTTGTAAACTTGTATGGTTTTCCTCATGAATGAATTCTGCAAGAGATACATGTGTAAGTACAGCTTCAATGTGTAGACAAGGCAAATACACAATCGTTCCAAAACACCATTATGTTCTCCAAAATATTGGCAGGTCAAGTAAATAAAGTCATGAAAAATGTTGATTCCAGCAGACCTATGTGTAAAGGGAGCCCTAGAAGTCAGTGAGAGCTGTGTGCTTGGAGCTGGTGTAGTACTTAACACTCAGTTATGAAATAACTGGGCAATAAGACACAGTAACCACGTGGACACAGTAATTATAATACTTGGCAGTGCTTATGTGATGACTGACCTCTTGCCAGTGCGAAAAGCAAGAGCTGTGCCATTCAGCTGAGGAGCAGAAGTTCTAGAGCAGGAAGCAGGAATAGCTCATGTTCTGTCCGGATTTCCAAAGGGGAAAGAGTGTTTGCACACTAGAGTGCTATTCAGCATCTCTACCTCCCTGCACTCCCCTATCTTCATCATCCTTTCCTGTTCCTTCCTCACCCACTCAATGGACATGTAATTTTGCTGGTGAGCATGGAGGCACTCCAGTTCTCAGCAGTTCTTTCTGTAATAATATAAAGCCTGGCTTGCTGTAATAAAATTTTAATGGGCAATATTTTTCTTTAAAACATTCTCTTACTTTGCTATTTGCACTGCTATTGCATCTTAACTATGCGAGGAGTGATAATAATAACAGCTTTGCTGGCTTTTGCAGCTTTGCCAGGGAAGTAGGTGATAATATGGCAGCTTTCACAAGCAACTTGCATGAAATCTTTAAAAATGTGAACATGAGTCTAGGCTTTAGAAAGCCTAAAGAGTGAAAAAAGGGCAGTAGGGCATGGCAGAGATGAAGACTTCCACCTTCTAGAACATGTAAAAGCTGAGATAATCTGAGACCAGTAGCATATAACATTTTTATAGGGCTTTTCTACAGTTAGTTATTGCTTTTATTCTAGCCTCCAGCTGACATATTGTAACTGGGATTGGTGGGATAATTACCAGTGTCAAAGAGACCAAGTACTCAGAATTTGTCAGAAGCAGCCTGGAAAAGAAAACTGGAGAAAAGGAAGTCCCCTCCCATGCTAAAAGCATAGGGTCAGTCACAGACAACCTGTGGTGGTAATAGAAAGGTTTTATAAGCAGGAGTGGAAAAAGCGGAAGCCAGGCTACGAAATTTCAGGGTATTGGTCTTTCAATAATTGTTCATGTGGGAGAAATCCCTGGCAAAATCCCAACAGGAGAGCTTATAGCCTCTTTTCACTTGTCCTTTTGTCTCCTTTCTTGTGTAGGATCAAATGAAGAAAATCTGATCTCTGATTCTGCTCTGCTTTTCCCTTGATGAAAGGAAAGTAGTCAAAGCTACCTAACGAGAGGAGCAGTGTTTTGTTA